CTAATCTAAATCTCCCCTGTTTCAGCTTACGACCCTCACATATTAAGGTTCATTATGGTTCAGATAAAAAGGTTTTATTTGTAGGTAATAGCCAATATGTATTGTGAGATATGATAAAAAGTCCAGTTCTCCTTTTTCCTACAGAGTCTACTTGCACAGTTAAGCCCTAGTTTTTGAACAAAAACAATTTTGTTGAGACTGTTTGTAAAAGGTCAGCATTGTACACAGAATTGCATAGACTGCAAACTCTTCAGGGGATGGTATTGTTTGTTGTTTTAGTGCCATCCCTGACACTAGACATTTTGTCAGTTCAGAACAAATAATAGCAGTGATGGGATGGGAATACTCACGCTCTCTGCTGACCAGTTGTGTGGGGAATAGTGATTCAGTTGCTAGAAGGCATAGAAAACAGTTATTCTGTGAGACTGCTGTAATAGAGGGGACAAAGGAATACACTGAGGCTACTCAACATCTACATGTGGCCAAGAAGGATTACAATAGCCTAACATTAAAAAAATTCTGACTAAACTGGTTTGTAAATAGCCATTTAATAAAACTGTATTTTGCTATAAAATTATGACTCCACACAATCTTGGATTTCTTTGGTCTCTATGATCTAAATGGAAAAATTACAATACTACCAAAGCAAGTTAAGTATAATGTAAATCATAAAATCATATCATAGAATAATAGAATTTAAGGGTTGGAATGGAGCTTAGAGATGATCCAGCCCCAAGCCCTGCCCTGGGCAGGGACACCTCCCACCAGAGCAGGTTGCTCAAGGCTCATCCAACCTGGCTGTGAACACTGCCAGGGTTGGGGCAGCCACAGCCTCCCTGGGCAACCTGGGACAGTGTCTCATCACCCTTAGAGTAAAAACCTTTTTCTTACATCTAACGTAAACTTTCCTTCCTTCAGTTTGTACCCATTGCCCCTTGTCCTGTCACTGCAGCTCCTAACACAGATCCCTCTCTGGCTCCTTGTAGTCCCTTCAGATATTGAAAAGTTGCTCTGAGGTCTCCACACAACCTTCTCTTCTCCAGGCTCAACAGCCCCAACTCCCTCAGCCTGTGCTCACAGGGAGATGCTCCAGTGCTCTTAGCAACTTTGTGGCTGCTATTAATTAATGCACAATAGCATGGTCATTTGTCATCTATGCAAGCAAACTGAAAAGGTTTAGTCATGTAGTTGGGAATCTCCTCAAAAGAACCTCTGAAAGAGAATGTTATTGCAACAATTGTCATCTGACTGTGACTGTCAGATGTGTGCCAAAATATGCTTATGGAAGTAACTATTATCTTCTTACCCTGCAAGGAAATTCTCTATCTGCATTGGCTTTTGTGAGTGAAATGAGATGCCAAAATTATATTGAAACCATGCTGAGATGAACTTTGTAGATGAGAAGACTGCTTGATATGAAGATTCTATTGCCATTGATGTGTAAGAACAGAGAGCTTTCCATGTCTGATTTTCATGCACATTTTGTTGTAAAAATCAGTGTTCAAAAATATCTTACATATTAAAAACCAAAAGGTTGGCCTTTGAGTGATGCACATATCCACTTTATCTTTTTTTTCTCCTGCACTGGAGTTGGTTTTGCCATGGTAACCAAAGAAGTGGTCACCACAGGTGGTAAAATGCTCGATGGGAATTTCTCTGTGTGAGATGAGGAGGAAGACTCATTCCTTTGTTTTGGACAAGGGCACCTCTATGGCAAAACCTGCCAGCACAAAAGAAGACTTTTAGTCATCTTGTTGTAATGATGCATGAAAAAGAAGCAAGAAACACAGAACAGTGCAGTTAGATGCAGAGTAAAAGCAAATGCAGTGATGCTCCCCTTCCTCAATAAAAATGCCATTATTTTTCAACAGCTTTGCTTCTTTTGCATCTCTGATGTTGTATAGATATACCAGGGATACATTTTTGTGCATTCACAGCATAATTCTAAACCTCTAAAGGCCTTCAGTAAAATAACCAAAAGAAATTATACACAGACACTATAACCATAAAAATCCCATCAGCTATCAAATTTAATTGCTAAAATAAGGATTCTCAAACATCAGAGGAGCTGAGAAAAATCACAAAATTGGAGCTGTTTTGAAGGTGCTGAGATGTATCTTGAGGTACAGTAAGGGCATAACATTTCAGAATTGTCACCATTTGAGGAAGTAGGTCATCTTTGTGTTGTCATATTCCATATTTCATCTGTTCATAATTGAGTGGAATATTCAGCAGTCCCAACCCTATTAAAATCAAGGAGCAGATAATTCCTGACACATGGGAGAAATACTGATCTCTCTGTACCTTTCTGCTAGTCTGCTACAGTATTTACAACTCTCTTCCTTTACCACTTGATGTTGAAGAAAAAGAGATCATTGAAAATACCTTTTCTCATAGTTGTAATAGCTTAAAAATTAGCTTAGCAATTAGTGATGATAACGAGATGGCTGAGACAACTAGGTCTGCCTCAGCCATATACTAAGAGACTTTATTTGAGAAAAAGACAAGATCTGCTGATAATCTCATCTTTATTGTAACTCTAACAAAAGAGTGCTCTGGGCTGGCCCTGCTGGACTAGGGAGGTTGGACCAGATGACCCATTGTGGTCCCTTCCAACCTCACTGATTCTGTGTTTCTGTGATTCTGTGAAGTGTTTGTTTTCACCTTCAAAAATATTTTAAGCACTCAAGTTGCTTCCAGTAAGAGCAAACCTCTAATTTACCAAATACAGTTTGCCAAGAAATTTATCAATATACTGCAATAAAATATCCTTGACTGGTGGGGAGATGGATCTAGTTGGCCTATTATTTCAACTTCAAATTGTCTAACATTGTGGTTAGACAACAGGGAGAGAGCCATGGATTCAGAGTATTACAGCACTAGTATCACTTATGGTGCCAATCACAGTGTCTTCTGCCAATTCAGGAACCAAAGGGTGTGAAGAACTCTGTAAAGAACTAAGAAGATTTGTCTGGTGGAGACTGCTGAAAGAAGATGATGTCCATTTCCCAAGACCTAATAAATTTGGGTTGACAGGCTAACTGAGGAGATAGCCTTAAGGAAAAGCTTGCATTCGGGGCATGAGGTTAACTGAGGGAAAGACAAGTCTAAAACTGAGGCATATGACTTCATGGTACAAAATTTGATTTTACAGAGAACCATTCTGACAGGGAATCAAGAGCTGGAGGGCTGGTGCCATAAGAAGATTTTTCTAGGCTCTTTGTGATCAAATATCCTCATGATTATAGAAAACTTAGATTGGAATTTGAAACACATAGCTCAGGAGTAGTGTTTGCCATGCCTATATAGTAACACCAAAAAATGAAATGGAAAATGGATGCAGATGTAACAAAAGCCCAAGAGGACAATGGCAAGGTTCATTAAATCCCTAGATATCTGGGCAACTCCAGGTCATTTCACTACAACATCAATATGGCAGGGAGGAAAGAACTGGGTGTTCCATCTTCTGGCAAAATTTAGTACAGTTTGCCAATTTGCTCATTATCACATTCCTTTGCTCATGTTAATAGTCATTATTTTCCCTTTTAAGAGACTTGCTCTACCATGTGCTCAGCACAAACCATAGTGCTTGAGTTGAGAAATTTACTCCTGGGAAAAGACACTGAATAGGGATAGTGAGCAAAGGAAATGGTAACTGGGTGACTGTTTTGGTTTTTAAACAACACTTTTATTGGAGTTGCTAAAGTTATTATAGACAGTTCAGAGAACTGAGCCTGTTCAGCCTGGAGAAGAGAAGGTTGTGTGGAGACCTCAGAGCTTTTCAATATCTGAAGGGGTTACAAGGAGCTGGAGAGGGACTCTGTGTTAGGAACTGCAGTGACAGGACAAGGGGGAATGGGTTCAAACTGAAGGGGAGGAAGTTTAGGTTAGATATAAGAAAAATATTTTTCCCAGTGAGGGTGGTGAGACACTGTCCCAGGTTGCCCAGGGAGGCTGTGGCTGCCCCAACCCTGGCAGTGTTCACAGCCAGGTTGGATGAGCCTTGAGCAACCTGCTCTGGTGGGAGGTGTCCCTGCCCAGGGCAGGGGTTGGGGCTGGATGATCTGCAAGGTCCATTCCAACCCCTACATTCTATGATTCTGTGATTCTTACTAAATTTTGTCTAATTTCCTTTGTGGTTCTTGTAATTTATATATCACGTATTAGCATGACTAGCCTTTTTTAATGTAGACTTTAATGTGTAGCATAGACCTCTTGTCTGCCAGTGAAGCTCATTTTGCACTAAAGAACTAAACCTTCATTATCTATTCTAGTATCCAGAAGATTTGCTTTTTTTTCCCTTTCTTTTCAGTGCCTTTCTATGTTTAAAATTTTCTTTTGCTATTCTAAAGGAACTATACCCCAAATCCCACTGGAGACAGTCTGATTACTCCTCTCATGTAGTAGCTAGGCAACCTGCAACAAGATCTTTCACACAGATAGAAGCATTTGTCCTTTTTCTGTTTTTCTGGGAAGAAGAGTAAAAGGAGCCAGTGTGCAGCAGGGATTTAGCAGTAAAGTGAGCAGAGAGGTGCTCTCTTCCTTTTGGGTTGCAGACATAGTAGATTTATCCGCTGATGTCTAGACACAAAGTCAAGAGGGGAAGGTGAGATCTGAAGAGAAATGCAAAGAGCCACAAGTCCTAGTTGGTCCTCTTCTACTCAGAGTTATCAAATTAAGAGTGACCTATTGATAGATTATAGAAAACAATAAATGCTTGAAATATATAAGCAAACTTTGTACATACAAGCCATCAATACTTTGGAAAAATGTTACTGCTGTTAAGTTTTCATGTCTTTTTGTGCTTGTTCAGCTTGGCTTTCTGGAACCTGACGTGCTCCATTTCTGTTAGAATGGTGTTATGGGTCTTCTGCAAGGGCAGGAAAAGAAAGAAAATAACTTCTCAGATTTAAAAAATGCAACCATATCAGCTGACAGAGCCATATGATTTTATTGTTACTATTTCAAATAAGTAACTTGATGTGTTTGTTGTGTCACAGGTACAGGAATGGCTGTGCTTAAACTGCCAGACCCAAAGGGCAATGTCAGGACAACTCGGAGATATGGGCAAGATGCCACTTCCCAAAACAGGCCCTTCACAACCAGTATCCAAAGCACCTGCTGCTCCTCAAAAACAGCCTGTGCCTGCTGCCTCACATTCCCCTCAGAAGACTTCCACACCTCCCACTCCAGCAGCACCAAAACCAAAAGAAGAACCAGGCACCACACCTCCCACTCCAGCAGCACCAAAGCCGAAAGAAGAACCAGGCGTTCAGAAGGAAGCTCCAAAACCTCAACAGGGGAGACTGGAAAAAACCCTATCAGCTGATAAAATCCAACAAGGGGTTCAAAAAGATGAAGCAAAACTTAAGCAGGGAAAACTTGTCAAGGCACCCTCAGCTGATAAAATCCAGCGTGTTTCTCAAAAGGAAGACCCGAGAGTTCAGCAAACAAAGCTGACTAAGACAGCCTCATATGATAGAGTTTTGCAGGAAGTTCAGAAGGAGGATGAAATACTTCAAGAAGCAAAACTGGCCAAAACATCCTCAGCTGACAAAATTTTGCAGGGAGTTCAGAAAGAAGACATAAAACTTCAAGAGGCAAAATTGGCAAAAGTACCCTCAGCTGACAAAATTTTACAGGGTATTCAGAAAGAAGACCCAAAACTCCAACAGGTGAAAATGGCAAAGGCACTGTCAGCTGACAAAATCCAACCTGCAGCTCAGAAGGAAGATGCACAACTTCAGGAGGTCAAATTGTCGAAGGCACTTTCAGCTGACAAAATCCAACCCGGAATTCAGAAAGAAGATGCAAAACTTCAACAAGAGAAAATTGTGAAAACTTCATCAGTGGAGAAAATCCAAGAAGAAGGTCAAAAAGAAGAAACCAAACTTCAGCAAGAGGAACTGTCAAAGACACTTCCAGCAGATAAAATTCCTGCGACAATAAGTTCAGACCAAAAGAAACCCTTAAGCACTTTGGAAGAAGATAAAAAACCTGTGCTCCCAGAAAAGAGCACACCATATCCAGAGGACAAAAAAGATCAAATTACAACTGAGACTAAAGAACGTGTTGCTGAACAGAAAGCAGAAGCTGAAGCACCTTACAAGGGACTGCAACCTAAGGAGCAAGAGGATGTTAAGAAAGAGGATGTGACAACAGGAGTTTCACAAATGGGCTTGAAAGCTGAACAAGCTCAGGAAGAAAAAATTCCTGTTCAAACAGCACCTTTGCCAGGAACCGACCACGTGGAAGCAGTGAGAGAAAAAATAGTAAGTGTTTTTCTCCCTCCCACCTCCCTTTCTCCCTTGCTACAATTTAGAATCTGATCCTGACAGATCTTCTCCTTTATGTCTTCCTGCTCTTTGCTTTTATTCTCTGCATGAGATGATTCTAAATGATAACATCAGTGGCTCCCATTGAGTGGAAGTTTCACCAGTTTGTCCTATGCTCTACATGCATTTTCCATAGTTCTTGCCTGATTTTCAGTCTCCAGCAGTTAAACATTTGAAACCAAGGCAAAGTTCTCGTTTAATAATTTTTCCAATATTTCAGATTTATTTCCCTTGATCTGTAGACTGTCCAGACTTTTAGGATTACTTGTTGAATTGGAGTGTTTCCTTAGTTCTCAATCCCAAAAAGGAATAATCTGTCATGGTAAGGTGCACAATGCTTTGCAATACCAAAATGTAATAGATGTTTCAGGAATACTTTGTGCTGTCTGAATATGGTACATCAAAGTATCCAACCTTTACATCTTTTTGCTGTTTAATTTGCTAATCTCATGTAGACAGGTACTTTCAAGTAGAGCTCTTGGTGGACTCTCAGTAGGGTTGGACTTGATGATCTTGGAGGTCTTATCCAACCCGGTTGATTCTATGATTCTATGATTCTAAAAACTAGATGTAATTCTGTCCTTAAGGGCTGGAGGATATCCAAGAGTTTTATTTTTCAGTATAGTGAGTGCTGGTGTATTGACTTCACAAAGTTTGGAATATTATAGGTTTCTCCATATTTATATATTAATCACAGCCTTATCATTCAAGAAGTCCTTAGAAATATTTGGTTTCATATTGGATTTTTAATTGCACTGGATTTTGCGGTGATATCAGATATTTAGGGTTACAATATTGGGTACAATGTTGGTAAGAACAGATGTAGTTTATAATCAATGTAGTATCTGGTTGTGCAAAGCATCTAATAAATCACTCCTGTGAAATGACAATTGCTTACTAAAATATTAATTAGTATATTACTGTAATATTAATATTAGTGGTTTAATGCAGGATTATGTTCAAAGTGAGAAGTCTAAAAGCAAGAACAGGTACCTAAATGTAAATCAAATCATGTAAAAACCTGACTGGTTTCTAAAAATAAAATAACTGACAGTAACAAATATTTGGGGTTTGATATTTTGGCATGAAATGTAACTTTAGTGTGAATAAATATTTGAAAACACTTGTAATTGATAGCAACTTAACAAGGGTGTAATTGTAACTTTAAATTCTAATTAACATTCACAATGATTTTCTTAACTTATTTACTCCACAGCATTTTTATAAACTTATTTTTTCAATTGAGCATATTGCCAAGGAAGTTGATCCATTAAAGCTTTCAATAAATGGTTTGCTGTAATTCAGAAATCATTGGCTTAGGTTGACAAAGCTGGGAAATATTTCTCCTTGTCTTACTGAGGGCCATAACAAATATAAAGATCACATCTTATTATTAAAACCAGAAGACTTTGGGATTTTTGGGGACACTTCATAAGCTTATCAGTTAAGAGGACAGTTAAGATGATGTCTGTTTTGGAGACTAAGCTGTTTTGTTAGCTAAACAGTGAGGTAAATACTAAATGCAGAGTATGTCATGGCTGAGAGGAACAGGAGGGAAACTCTGGGATATAAATACTTTTCATAGGATATTCATGGTATTTTTTTTTACCTAAGAAGGAGGTAGAGGTGCTTGTCAGTCAGAATGATGGAGAAGGATCTGGAAGCTAGGCTGACTAAGGGTGTTTAATTAGGGATGAGAAGGAAAATATGGTGCTGATGCTGAGTAAGGAATGCCTGCCTTGTGTGCTTCTCTTGATCTATAGCTGACCATTGTGCTTTCCTCCTTGCCATCACACCTTGCTCCCAGCAGCTTCCCTCTGCATTGCCAGTTTACTGAGAAACTTCTCTCTTAAGTGGTACTCAGAAAATGTTTGAGCAGTGCCCAGCTGGAGATGTGGGGATGTTCCAAATTGCATTAATTCATGCTTCAGTAGTCCGTATTTTCTGTTGTGTGCTATGCCTCAATCAACAAAATGAAATAGGTCCAAAAATTGAGAGGACTGACATATTGTTAGACAATTATAAAGGATAAACGGGCGAGGAAAGGAGCAGACCCCACAAATTCTGCAGGTGGGTTGGTCTCTTCTCCCAGGCAACCAGCAGCAGGACAAGAGGGCACAGACTCAAGCTCTGCCAGGGGAGGGTTAGGTTGGGTATTAGGAAGAGATTTTTTGCAGAGAGAGTGCTCAGGCATTGGAATGTGCTGCCCAGGGAGGTGGTGGATTCCCCATCCCTGGAGGTTTTCAAGCTGAGACTGGATGTGGCACTTAGTGCCATGGGCTAGTGACCACGGGAGGGTTGGACTTGATGATCTTTGAGGTCTCTTCCAACCTGGCTGATTCTATGATTCCGTGGTTCTAAGATATAGAACCATATAGGTAGTTTTGAAATATAGCAATTAAAATCTTCATTCAAATTAACCCCCAAACAACTTTTGCCATTCCTATGTGAATAAATGAGAGTTTATCATTAGTAAAACTTCTGAAAACAATTAAATACAGTAATTTTTATACTGAAAAATAGATCGTCTTGCAACTAGCAAAATCAGTTGCCAGCATGGGCAACCATGGAAAGCATACTTAGATTCAGTGCAAAAACAAACCCCCAAACTTTGAGGATGTTTTGTTAGTATTTCAATGATTTTGAATTAAAAAAATAGTGTTCCCTCTTTTATGTTTTAATATTTTTCTTCTTGGCATCCTAATTTTTCATCTGAGACATTAAAGCATCCTTTAGAAAAAAAAATCACATGTATTTAACTGCCTGGAGACGTTAAGAATTTCTATATATCCACACGCGTATGTATTTATTTTTTTAGGAAAAAGAGGATGACAAATCAGACACATCAAGCTCTCAGCAACAGAAAAGTCCACAAGGTCTGAGTGACACCGGGTATTCTTCTGATGGGATATCAAGTTCACTTGGTGAAATCCCAAGTCATATCCCCACTGATGAAAAGGATTTACTCAGAGAATCTTATAAAAAAGACATTATTGCACAAGAAAGTCCACCGAGCCCTTCAGATCTAGCTAAATTGGAAAGTACTGTACTGTCAATTTTGGAAGCTCAGGCAAGTACTCTGTCTGATGAAAAAACTGCCAAAAGCAAAGAGCTTTCTGAAACATATAGTGAACAGACAAAGGACCAACATAAACTAAAGCTTTTGCCAGCCACTCTGGAATCTTACAGTTCAGAGGAGGAAGACCTAGAAGCTATCAAAGAAGGTGAAAGAACCATCGTGGATGAGGGCAAAGGAAGTGCTTCCTCTCAGGCAGACTACAAGGAAGAACATGAAGGAGATGACATCTCAGCAAGAAGACAACGCTATGACTCTGTGGAAGACAGCAGTGAGAGTGAAAACTCACCTGTCCCAAGGAGAAAAAGAAGAACTAGTGTTGGTTCTTCAAGCAGTGATGAGTACAAACGGGACGACAGTCAGGGATCAGGTGATGAGGAAGACTTCATTAGAAAACAGATTATAGAGATGAGTGCTGATGAAGATGCTTCAGGTTCTGAAGATGATGAATTCATTAGAAATCAACTCAAAGAGATCAGTGCAACTGAAAGCCAAAAGAAAGAAGAAGTGAAAAGCAAAGCCAAAGGAACAGCTGGAAAACACCGAAGAATGGCACGGAAAAGCAGTGCAGGCTATGATGAGGATGCAGGAAGAAGACATTCATGGCACGATGATGATGATGAGACTTTTGATGAGAGCCCAGAGCCAAAATACAGAGAAAGTAAAAGTCAGGACGGTGAAGAACTTGCAGTAACTGGAGGAGGAGGCCTTCGACGCTTCAAAACAATAGAGTTAAATAGTACAATTACAAACAAATACTCTGAAGCATCTGAACAGCAGAAAGGTATTTTGTATTTTGATGAAGAGCCTGAGCTAGAGATGGAGAGTCTTACAGATTCACCAGAAGACAGATCTAGAGGAGAAGGGTCTTCTAGTTTACATGCTTCTAGTTTCACACCAGGTACATCTCCTACTTCAGTGTCATCCCTTGATGAAGATAGTGACAGCAGTCCTAGTCACAAAAAACTGGGTGGGGAGAGCAAACAGCAGCGCAAAGCCAGACATAGGACACATGGTCCTCTTCTTCCAACAATTGAAGATTCTTCAGAAGAAGAAGAACTGAGGGAAGAGGAAGAACTGTTAAAAGAACAAGAGAAACAGCGTGAATTAGAACAGCAACAAAGAAAAAGCTCAAGCAAAAAGTCTAAAAAGGACAAGGATGAACTCAGAGCTCAGAGAAGAAGAGAACGTCCAAAGACTCCACCAAGTAATCTTTCTCCCATTGAAGATGCGTCTCCAACAGAAGAATTACGACAGGCAGCAGAAATGGAAGAGCTGCACAGGTCTTCCTGTTCTGAATATTCACCCAGTATTGAGTCAGATCCTGAAGGATTTGAAATCAGCCCAGAAAAAATAATAGAAGTACAAAAAGTATACAAATTGCCTACTGCTGTCTCTCTATACTCACCAACAGATGAACAACCAGTTGGACTCCCAAAAGAAGAAAGTGATCAAAAGACATTGAAAAGTGCTGAAGAGGTATATGAGGAGATGATGCATAAGTCCAAATCATTTCAAATTGCAAATGAAAAGGATGAAGTATTTGAAAAAGAATCTTTATATGGTGGAATGCTGATAGAGGATTATATTTATGAATCGTTAGTAGAGGATAGTTACAGTGGAACTCTTGATACTACTCTTGTCATGAGACAAGATGAGACTAGTGAATATATGCAACAGAGAGGAAAAGAGAAAAAAGCAAGAGCTTCAGAACAGGTGTTTGATGAACCACAGAAAATTACTGATCTAGAGAAAGACTACTATAGTGTTGAGACTTTACATACTATTGTGCCTCAAGAAGATATTGTTTCTAGCTCTTACATTATCCCAGAAAGTCATGAAATTGTTGTACTAGACAGCACAGTAACTACCACCACTGAGGAAAAACATTTGTTAGATGCAGAAGCTGCTTATGAAGAGCTTATGAAAAGACAGAAAATGCAGCTAACCCCTGGGGCCAGTCCAACACAACCAACTTCAGATCTCACTCCCACATCCGATACAAAGGTATCTGGTGTTGGAGAAATAGTGGATAGTACATCTTTAACATCAAGCACTACTTCAGCAATCTCAGATGTATCACCTGTCAGTAGCACAGCACTTTCTATTCCAGATGTTAAAATAACACAGCATTTTACAACAGAGGACATTGAAGATGAATACTTAACAGATTATGCCAGAGAAATTCAAGAAATAATTTCTCATGAAACATCAATATTGACATACTCTGAGACGTCAGAAGGTGTTACATCAGTTTTACCTTCTGATACAGCTTCCTTAACATCATCCACATCTTCAGTTTGTACCACAGATAGTTCATCACCTATAGATAGTGCAACCACAGGTTTTGTAGATGCAGCAGATGCTGTAAGTAAACCAACAGATGCTGAAGGTGTCAGGGTAATAACCCAGGTTCCCTTAACATCTGCAAAAGACTACTCTGAAGTGATCATGCCTTATGAAACTATTGCTGGAGCCACTAAAAAGCCATCTATAGCATCAGATTTGGAGAGTGTGGATCAAGCTGCAGTTTGTTTGCCTGAAACTACACCTTCAGTAGTGGCAACTACAGTTGCAAAGCCCAAGCAATATGCAGATGATACCATTACCTTTGATACCTCCAAAGCAGAGAAGGAAGCAGCTAGAAAAATGATAGGTATTACAGAGGCTGGCAGTGTCAAAATTCATCATGAAGAGCCACACAAAGAATTAGGTGTTGATATGACAAGGATTAGTTTGACTAGTGATACATCTGAGCAACCACCTGTGTGTATAGCATCAGTACCAGTTACAGAGCCAGCATCAGAAATATCTCCTGTACCCACTCACAGTGTTGTAAGTAAGACCAGCATGGTCTCTGTGCCTTCCTCAGCTCCTGCTGTTTCAGCCAAAGTACTCTCTCTTTTTAGAAGCTCTTCTTTGGATTCTCCTGCACAGCCTTCTCCACCCCCACCTCCTCCTCCTCCTCCACCACCTCCTCCACCACCACCATTGCCACCTCCACCTATTTTACCCAAGCCAGCCATTTATCCCAAAAGGAAGCCACAGATTAAGACTCCAGCAACAACAGCTCCCACAGTGGTACCTTCAGTCACAACTGTTCCAACACTAGAGTCCACAGCTGTATTAAAGAATCATGTGGTACCTACCACAAAAACACACACCCCAACACCACCTCCTGTACCACCCAAACCATCCTCTATTCCAGCAGGGCTTGTCTTCACTCACAGGCCTGCTGAAGTAACTAAACCTCCAATTGCTCCTAAACCAGCAGTTCCTCCACTCCCAATAACTGTTCATAAGCCAGCAGAAACACAGCCCAAACCAGTAAGTTTGTCATTGACTTCAAGTATGACTCTGAATTTGGTTTCTACAGCTGATTACAAAATACCATCTCCCACTTCCCCTTTGTCTCCACACTCTAACAAATCTTCACCAAGGTTGTCAAAATCCTTACAGGAAACCTATGTGGTCATTACATTACCGTCTGAGCCTGGAACTCCCACAGAAGCTATAACTAGTCAGGCTGTTACCAGCTGGCCTTTAGAAGCACCTTCTAAAGAACTGATTCCCCAGCCTATGCAACCAATTTTTACTTCATCCCTGAAATCTATGGAAATTCAAAGTTTGGCAGGTCAGAGCATGTATATTTCAGGTGCTTTACAAGCTATTCCTGTGACAACACAATCTGCTTTTGAAAAAATACCTAGTTCAAAATCAGAGGTAGTAACAACAGACGTAACCAAGACAACAGTGTCTGTGGTTAAGGGTCCAGTGCCTGGTTTTGGTTTAGGTAGTGTTGCTATTACTATACCCCCAGAGCCACTACATATAGTAGACCAACCCAGATATAGAGAAAACGGAAGATTCCATCCCTTGGGTGATGTCATAGATCTTCGTACTTTAACTAAGATGGATATAGAGATGAGAGACAGCTGTATGGATCTGTCTGCTGTTTCCATGGATGTGAGAAGGCAACTGCCAGCAAGTGACACAGGTGGGAGGCCAGTAAGTACTGTCCAGCCAGCTATAATAAATCTTAGCACTGCTTGTGTTGCCGATCCTTCCCTGTCTGTAGTCACTCAGACAGTAACTGTCATGACCTGCACTGCCACTGTAAGCTACAGCACCAGTACAGACAGCCTTGTGGATCTGGGACATGCAATGACAACACCACTTCAGCTAACAACATCCAAACATTTTGAGCCTGCATACAGAGTAACAAGCAGCCAGGCATTCTCTGCAGGTAGAGATGAAGTGCCAATAAATTTATCCCTAGGTACTTCAGCACAGGCAGTGACATGGGCTGCTACAAAGCCTGTTACTGTACCTCCTGTCGGTGTCACGAATGGTTGGACTGATCTCTCCACTTCTCAGGAGCCAGCAGAGAGTGTAGCAGTTGACCTTAGCACTACAAAATCCCACAGAACAGTAGTAACAATGGACGAAGCTACTTCAGGTATCGTAACGACGGTAATAGAAGATGATGAAAAGCCTGTGGATCTGACTGCAGGAAGAAGAGCTGTCTGCTGTGATATGGTTTATAAATTGCCATTTGGTAGGAGCTGTACAGCACAGCAGCCACCTACTACACTTCCTGAAGATCGCTTTGGCTACAGAGATGACCATTATCAGTATGATCGTTCAGGGTCATATGGCTACCGAGGAATGGGAGGGATGAAACCCTCTATGTCTGACACAAATTTATCAGAAGCTGGACTGTTTGCTTACAAAAGCAAGAATAGCTTTGATTATCGAGTTGGGGCAACTGATACAGCAGTAGATCTTACTTCTGGAAGAGTAACTACAGGTCAGTATGACACAGCAGCAGATCTTTCTTTGAAATATGATTTTGATGTTCCTCACCTCATTTCAGGATAATTTTTTTTTATTGTTTTTTTTTTCCCCTCCTTCTGTTGTTTTGTTTTCTTTTGGACAGTGTGACAAATTACTCTGGATTACACGTGTTTTTCATTTCTTCATTTTACATATGTGTTTGCACAGAGGTGCCTGCATGTGCCTGCATGTTCAGAAATACTGTTTGCTTCACATCTAAAGTAGATCATTAACCTGAAGATTTGCATGCAGTTTCCCCTTTCCATTTGTTTCATCAAGATGGGATGACTTTCAGAATCCGCAAAGCAGCATTCTTTTGTGGGACTGGACTGTAACTTTGCCCTGTAATTTCAGGTGAGGTTATGGATTACTCAAGCAAGACTACTGGTCCATATCCAGAGACTCGGCAGGTGATTTCTGGCCTCGGGCTCAGTACACCACAGTATTCCCAAGCAAGGATGGTGTCATCTCAGTTTGGCGTTGGAAGTGTTTTAAGATCATCCAATGGTGTTGTTTATTCTTCAGTAGCGACTCCAGTCCCATCTACATTTGCCATCACTACACAGCCTGGTTCTATTTTCAGTACAAGTGTCAGAGATTTACCTACTCTCCAAACAATTGACTCGGTGCCCTCTCTATCAACTTTGCAGCAGAGTCAACCACTCCCAAGATCATACAGTTTCTTGACAACTGTGGCAGCTGAGAAAGATAGTGCAATTTCTGCCATTGATATGGAGACAGGGTTACCACCTCACACTATAGAAACTATTACCACTGAGCCAACCAGCTTGATCCCTACTTTAACTACAGCATCTGAAGGTTACACGGATGTCATTGATGATGAGGTTGCCCTTCTCATTGCCCCTGAAGAAGGCAAACAGCAGCAGCTTGATTTGGAGCGGGAACTTCTTGAGCTTGAGAAAATTAAGCAGCAGCGCTTTGCGGAAGAGCTGGAATGGGAACGTCAGGAAATTCAAAGATTCAGGGAACAAGAAAAGTTTATGGTGCAAAAAAAGCTTGAGGAGTTGCAATCCATGAAACATCATCTCTTATTTCAACAGGAGGAGGAACGACAAGCTCAGTTCATGATGAGACAGGAGACATTAGCCCAGCAGCAGTTGCAGCTCGAACAATTCCAACAACTTCAGCAACAGCTCCACCAACAGTTAGAGGAGCAAAAACTTCGTCAAATATATCAGTATGGTTATGACCCCTCAGGAACTGGCTCACCACAAACTACCACAGATCAAACACTTCTGGAAGGACAGTATGCAACCACAGAAAATGGCCAATTTTGGCCTACTGATGATGCAACTACTACAGCTTCAGGAGTGCTGGGTATTGAAATTCCACAAAGCCAAGCTTGGTATACGGTTCAGTCTGATGGTATTACCCAGTACATACCTAGGTCTGGTATCCTAAGCTCTGTTTCAGAAATGTCTCTTAAGGATATCGATGTTCGAGAGGAGAAGCAGTTGAAAAAGAGAAGTTCTATGCCAAAATTACGTGGACCATATGAGGAGTTTGAGGAGACCCTGGAAGAAGAACCCCGGTGCTTCAAAAAGATAGTGGACAGTGGAGTGCAAACTGATGATGAAGATGGAGCAGACAGAGGTTACACAAACAGGAGACGGAGAACTAAGAAGAGTGTTGATACGAGTGTTCAGACAGATGATGAAGATCAAGATGAATGGGATCTTTCCAGCCGGTCCAGAAGGAAGCCTCGTGTTGGGAAATACAGTGAGGGCACCACTGAGGCAGACAAAGCTAAGCAATTCTCCAAAGTGTCTAGTATTGCAGTTCAAACAGTGGCAGAGATTTCTGTACAAACAGAACCTGTAGGAACAATCAGAACACCTTCAATCAGGGCCCGATTGGATGCTAAGGTTGAAATCATAAAGCACATTTCAGCTCCAGAAAAGACATATAAAGGAGAAAGTTTGGGATGTCAAACAGAGACAGAGTCAGACACGCAAAGTCCCCCATATCTGTCAGCTTCATCTCCTCAGAAAGATAAAAAACGTCCAACACCATTAGAGATAGGATACTCATCCCACCTTCGTCCAGACTCCACATTGCAGGTAGTCCCTTCCCCTCCCAAATCTCCCAAAGTTCTCTACTCACCCATTTCACCTGTTTCACCAAGCAAAGTTATAGAGTCAGCATTTGTACCCTATGAAAAACCCATCACTGATGACATCAGCCCTCAGAAGATGCTGCATGCTGACATTGCCAAGGTTCCTCCATCAAGCCCAAAGGCAGCAAAGATGATGCAACGCTCTATGTCTGATCCTAAGCCCCTGAGTCCCACAGCAGAAGACAGTTCCAGAGCTCAGTTTCAGTACACTGAGGGTTACATGGTAAGAAGTATTTGTTTGCTTTTTTTGTTTTAATATGCAATTCTACAGCTATCAGTACAGCATAAGGGCTGACACACTCATTTCCAATACCTGTGTATGCAGTCTTTTTTGCACAACTTGCTGAAAAGTCCAGAGGAATATCTGCTGTCTAAAGCAATGCTTATTTCCTTCACTGCTTTGCCTGGAAATCAAGGAATCCGTATTTCAGTCTAACTAAGATTCAGGAAGTAACACAGATTCATGTTCAGAATTTAGAAGGCACTTTGTGTTTTCCATGGCAATTAATTGTCAATATAGGAGATACTCCCAATTCTTCAGAAAATTAAAAGCTTGTGTTTCTAATCATACAGCACCAGCTCTTGAGGCACAGTCTGTAGTGCATTTACCTTGAAATTGCTGCATGTGCCTTCTGGGAGTCAGATAACACCAGATTTGTAATTGCCTGAGTTAGTTGTCCTTTTTGACCCTCATGAGGTTTCTTAGCCATTTGTGTTTCTGTGGATAATCTTGTGTCCCAATGTGTACATCTTTTATCTCTCCCAGACCAAAAGGTCTCATATCACAAATCCATTTGTTCTTTGTTTATTTCAAATCAGGAGGGTTATCAAGAAGTTGTGCAAGTGTTGAGGGCTGTTTATTATGGGAGCAGAGAAGGTTAACATCATTAGGATCAAAATTTTTCATTTCCTTGACAAGTAAGATTTCATATTTGGGAATCAGGCCATTGTTTATGAATAAGAGGAATAAGTCTTGGCCAAAAAAAAAGAAAAAAATCTATTTTATAATTTCACATGTTCTTGGCTGTCCTTTTGTCCAAGTCCATTCCCTTCTGTCAGTTGCTGGGTCAGTATTTTACTGACTCTGGAAGAGTTGCATTGAAGCTCTTCTCTATCTTTTATGTTCAGTTATCTGTGAATACAGATGAGTGATTAGTACAGACTGGGTAGGAGAAAGAGGGTTTGTTCTCTGTGTTTGATAATTTGTGGTGGCTTTCAAATGCAGATTGATGTGCTTATACCCTCCAAGACTCCCACTGTAAGCAATTTTTCAGCATCACATGTTTGTGCAGATATTAAATGCTTCCCGTGCTGTTGCTGCTTGGAAAACAATACTTGGAAGTTTGAAGGGAAAACTGTAGTCATGGCATTGGCAATCCATCTAAACATCATTCCCTAATACAGGATAAGCACAGTGGGGGAAACTGTAGCACAAGCACTAAAGTTTCATGTACAGAATTTGTAACAGCATCTTGAAGAACGTTGCTCATGGATTGTGAGGAAGTGTTGAGCTCTACTCAGTGTTGGAGAGTAGCTATAACACTGTAAAATAACTGTCAGTATAGTGAAACTTTCTGAGGACAAGTTATTCCATTCATTTATTTCATAGATAGATATATATTTGATATGAAATCTATGCTTTGTGTGATGGATGATAAATTCTATAAACAGCTGATTCTTTAAAGGCCTTGAGGTTTGCACACATACAGGATTCATTAATGAGACATGGGAACAAAGAGCTTGTACACCATTGTTTCTGTCATGTTTTTGACTGTCTCACCTTGAGCCCAAACAGAAATGAGTTATGTTTTTCTCACTACTATGCATCCATGAAGCAGTAAATATCCCACATCTCACAGTAGTTACAGACTAAATAAGTGGACAGAAATGAGTTATGTTTTTCTCACTATTATGCAGCCATGAAGCAACAAATATCCCACATCTTACAGTAGTTACAGACTAAGTAAGTGAGGGGCACATTCTTATGGAGCATGAGGTGCAAGTAGACAAGTGTAAGGAGAGTATAAAACCTTCATGAGTGTAAAAGGGACTGCACTAACTGTGCCATGCAACACATGGTGAGGAAGCTGCTCCTTAAACCTGCCATGACCCTCGTGGCTGCCTTGAGTTTTGATGTCAAGCATCAAGCTTGTTAGACTCTGATAGAGTTTTGTTAGTTGTATGGTTCAGTTGGCTGATACTGGAGTCAGGTGTATGAAGTTTTAAGGAGGAAAAGACATACGACCTCAAAAAAATGGACATATTTAGAGTGATGGCTGCAGAATGACCTCATCATAGTCACCCCACCAGCACCTGGAAATAGGCCATAAATTGCTTTTGCAGTTTCTCTATCAGTTTTGGTCCTCGATTACACATGTTATGAAGGAGGAACTTGCAGTGTAAGATCGAAATGATTCCACGAGACTTATGGTATTCCCTTCAGCATGTCTGTTTGTTTATGACATGGTTTTAGGACTGTATCATCTTGGAAGCACAGGAAAGACTGGACATTGATTTCTTCTTTTGCAACTTTGATCACACTCAAAAGTTCTTCCTGAAAGTTAGTATACTGCAGTGTCACTGTTGGCAAAGTGTGAACCTTGTTGACATTTCTTTCAACTGACAACTCTGTCCTTAAAGCCACATATTGTTGTTATTCTTGAGTTTAAATACAGGATCAGTTTTGGATTATCCTGCTCAGTGTGAAAGTAAGACACTTCCTCGATTGAAAAATAGTTTTGGCACTGAGACTGGTTTTTTCATTCTTTCTTTGTACAGTGCCCACAACAGCTAAAGTCTTTGTTAATTCTCTGTGTGCACTTTTGTGTCTCCTGACTGAAGAGTTCTGAATTTCCTCGTTATCAAAAGGGAAAGGTAGAAGGGATCAGTTATGTCATGCAAAAGAGTGAAGTTCAGTACAGAAAATCTCACAAAACAGCTCACTCTGGAAAAGATAACTTACTAGGGCTGAACCTGAAAGAATGAAATTAAAATCAAAGAGTGAACTTTCACTAGCTTAGGGAAATGGAATGTGTATATGAATATTTTTTTGCATGGATGAATATCCTATCACTTTTTTAATAGTTCATGTTTCAGGGTTATGTCTTTGCCTGCATTCATAAGCATTGCAGGTGAAAAGGGTGTTCATGTATGTGATTCACAGGCATTTTTTTATGACAGTTGAGCAAACCAGTTGATCTTTATGCAATCACTGGCAGTAAATGGGTAAGAATAATATTTGTCTCTTTCTAAGGTTTGCAGTGAAGTGATACCTTGTCCTTCATCAAATGTCCTTCAGCTCTTCCAGTGAAAAGTGTTGTTTTTACAACATTTCAAGAGATTATGGAGACTATGACTAAGATGATTGAATTATCTCTGTATGCTTTAGAACTGCTGCTTTCAATATAAATTATTGCAATGTTTTAGTTAATCTTGTGTAAATGAAAGGCTGAAAAGTAACCTGGTCACTAATCACATAATAATAAGGATCCAGATGACATTGCTTTGAGTGATGGCACATTTAATTTTCAGACCAGTTATGTGTTTACATAACATTTTCACTTGCTTGTCTATCATAGCCATTGCCTCTATATGAACACCTGGATGAACATAGATGGTGTCATCCTATTAATCCAAAGGAATAGTATTGCTTACTTTTCCTTCCCTTTCATAGTTCATATGTGCTGTCTATTTCTGTGATGTATATTAGCAATCAGTTGTAGCTGAGTCAAGAAAAAATTGGAAACTGTAGTTTGTCAGCACCAAAAAAGGTTGTGAAAGCCACAGATTTGGAATTGACATTTTGCAGAGGTACCTCATTCTGCTGTTTTGTGAGCTTTGTGCCTCTGGAGCTCACAGTGGCAATGACTTTGATAAACTTGTCCAGCAGTCCAACATGGTAGGTTTCCATGAAATGAATTGCCATGGGAGTGGTTTCCATGAAAGCAGAAGGAAGTGTTAGAATAAGGTCTAAGAGAGCTCCAGGCTCTCTTAACCTGGAGAAGAGGAGGCTCAGGGGAGACCTTCTCACCCTCTGCAACTCCCTGACAGGAGGCTGGAGTCAGGTGGGGGTTGGTCTCTTCTCCCAGGCAACCAGCAGCAGGACAAGAGGGCACAGACTCAAGCTCTGCCAGGGGAGGGTTAGGTTGGAGATTAGGAAGAGATTTTTTCCAGAGAGAGTGCTCAGGCATTGGAATGTGCTGCCCAGGGAGGTGGTGGATTCCCCATCCCTGGAGGTTTTCAAGGTGAGACTGGATGTGGCACTTAGTGCCATGGGCTAGTGACCACGGTAGGGTTGGACTCGATGATCTTGGAGGTCTTTTCCAACCTGGCTGATTCTATGATTCTATGAATTAATCTGTCATTGCTGTAACCTCTAAACCATATCCTCCAGCGCTAGATCCAGACACCTCTTAAACACCTCCAGGGATGGTGACTCCACCACCTCCCTGGGCAATCTATTCCAGTACCTGAGCACCCTAACAGTGAACACATTTTTCCTTACATCTCATCTGAATCTCCCCTGACTCAGTTTATGTCCATTCCCTCTAGTCCTCATTAGTTCAGTTAGTGCAATTTAGAAGTGGAGATTGAAATTCGCCCATTCAGCAGCAACAAAAATATTGTGAGTCCCTGTCTAGTTTAATAAAGAAATAGCTGCACTAGTGCATCGCAGAATCAAGTCACATGCCAGTCACAGTCATCTTTGGCACTTGTACACATTGCATATGTGTAATCAAAGATGGAAGTTGTCTTCCTGTTGCCTTTGGATGCAAAATGCCTGTTCAACTAAACTGAAGCAAATTGCAGAAGATCTTGCACTAGACCTGTCACACATAAAACATCTACAGCTAAGTAGTGCCTAGACTCAGCAGAAGTGTTTGTTTTCGTGAAACTAATGCAAAGACACATCTGTCAACAGCCTGTCAGCCTCAGGGTAGGTACTGTATATTTAAGCTTTAACACTTAGAGTAAATTCTATCAATCTGTTTATTAAGAGAGCTAAGAGAGACTTTCCTTGAGACTTGTATCTGATGTGATTTGCCATTCTTGCAAGGCAAATATAGTTCAAATCTTTATACTGTAGTTAAAAAAAAAAGATAATTGTTTCAAGCAAAATCCTCTCCAAATGTGTCTTTATTTAGGTAAGAAATGCAGGGCTTTAGCTATTGCTGTAATAAGAGCAGAATTGATTTTATACTGATTTTAAGAGTGTAAATTTCT